GGCCCTCAGGATTAAAAAAAAAAAAAAAAAAAAAAGGATGGCACATCCTGACTGTCCGGTGTTGGATGTCCGGGGCTGTGATAGCTATGAAGTACTCTGGAATTGTGTGAACTGATAGATTTGTGAAATGAATCAGTTAAGGGAGTCCTTAAGGGGCCATCTGTTAAAATTGGAACGATACAGAGAAGATTAGCATGGCCCCTGCTGAAGGATGACACACAGAAATCGAGAAATGGTCGCAGAAAAGAAGGAAAGACAAACAAACACAATCTGTTAAGGGAAAAGCAACAGGAGAAGAGGCACGGGCAGTGGAAGTAGGGGAGAAGAAGTGATGACTCATGTCTTTGCAGTGTCCACATTTCGTGAACTGCGCCCTTGGAGCTTGCAATGATGACACGAGTGTGTTCTTTGTCAATTTCTCTTTTTGCGTTATCTGGTGCATCGGTTGACGTATCCACAGCAGAGGTCCTTTTCTGGTGTAGCGTTGATCTCACTGCGAAGGTTTTTTTTGGCAATTGGTGAAGTCACAAAGGTGGTGAAAGCATGGGGAACTGTTGCGGACTCTGCGGAGGTACGAATGAAGAGAAGGCGGAGGGTGACGGACGGAAAGTGCTTACAGAAGCGGAACGCGTTGAAATGGCCAACGTGCGAGCTAATGCGGCTGCAGCCGCAGAGGCACGGAAAAAAGCCTTCGACGAGTCAGCTGTAGGGAGGGCAGCACGCACAGCAGTTATGGCGGCACAGGCCAAACCCGCTAAAGAGGCTGGCAGGACCCAACCAACGATGCAGTGGCAAGTCGGATAATGGATGGAGAGCCGGAGACTGGTCATGCAAACGTCAGAGGTATTTTTTTTTCCTGTAATCGACTCGTATGATGATGCGGAAGAGGTCCGAGCGGCAGACGAACACACTGCACGGTGTCGACAACAGTTGTGCAGGCTCTGTACAGTTATCTCGCTAGCCCCGACTGCAAGCTCCGTCGTCAGAAAAGTGTGCTGCGAACTACATTGTGAGCAGTGTATTGTTGGTGCCACTCTCTCCCATTTTGCAGATTATTCCCTGCATCCAGGTCAGTCCCCCCTCTGCAGGCTGATCCGACAGGCAGGTTCGCACCCTTGTGCAGGTTAGCCCCTTTCATCCAGGCTGGTCTCAAAGTCGGTCCCACTGCGCCGCTTGGTCCCACGGTGCAGGTTTTGTGACAATTCCTTAAGAGGCATGGAGTCGGGCAAGACTCTTGTTTTGGATTTTTTATCCTTTTCACCTTCACTGCCCAGATGGCGTCTTCCGTAAGTGGACGCTCCTTTCACCTCCAGTTTCTCAGATTGTGTGCTCCGCAAGCGCGTGCTCCGTTGCGCCGTCACTTCCCAGGTTGCGTGTCACGTAAGCGCAGGAGCGCTGATCCATTTGGTTGATGCCCACATTAAAAGGATCTTGTCAGTGTGTTGCCACCTTCTGCACCCGAATACAACGTATGGTCACTAAAGCTTTATTTACTATTTAGGGCATCTTTCTGTCTACATACAGCAATAATGACCGTACGTTGTATTCGGGTGAAGACGGTAGTGCGTTGAGAGAATGGTCTTGTTGCATCTTTGTTCTGACACAAGGAAGCTACATCGCAGGGAAACCGACACGGTTTGGTCATGGCGTGACATCGGATCAGCTTGCCTGCGCCACTCTTTTCGACGAATGACGACTGATGTTGTCGCAACTTGTCGGTCGGTGAATGGCTACCGAATGATGCTGTGGGGTCGCAGTTGCACGTCAGTGGAGAGGAATGGCCAATGGCCAATGGCCAAGTTTTGACATGGCTTGGCATCTGAGTATGGTTCTTTCGGAAGTCGTTTGGGCAAAACGATTCTATTGTTGTATCCAACGGTCACGCTTCCAAGTCACCAGGTGTCCCATGAATATAGTCTTAGGACCAGTAGGTCGAGTTCAGTGCCCGTGTTTTTTCCCTTTATGATTTTAGTTCTTAATAGTATTCCTTCTTTCTGAGTTTTTTTTTCTTTTCTTTTTCAGGTTGTATTCTTAGAGTTTGAAGGCTTGCCAGAGCTGTCAGAACAGCAGTGTTCCATGTAAATTCCAGATAGGTAGAGTAGTACAAAGGGGGGTGGGGGAGCGAGGCGGGAGGAATCAATGACACTTTTCTCTTTCTAGCCTCGACGGGAGGGAGGAAGGTGCGGAGAGTTGGTGACAGCTCTCTCTCTCTCTCTCTCTCTCTCTCTCTCTCTCTCTCTCTCTCTCTCTCTCTCTCTCTCTCGCTCTCGCTCTGTGTGTGTGTGTGTGTGTGTGTGTGTGTGTGTGTGTTGTGTTGTGTAGTGTAGTGGCTAGACAATCCATGTAGATGTGGGCAAAATCTGTAGAAGTTATGTTAGGGGATTAACCCTAGTATATTTGTGAAGACTCTGAGTCTGAAGAGGTTAACAATATCTGGAAGAGTGTGTATAAGAAAGACTACTTTTCTTCGCTCCTGTTGGAGTTCGCACTTTTGGGTGCTCCTTAGTTGATGATTTTTTTTTTTTTACTATTATGTGTTGTGATGTTGAGAAAATGAAAAAAAAAAAAAAAGGGAAAATGGTATTCACCACCTGTGCTCAATACACAGGAGCTGGGGAGGTTTGGAAGTGGCATAGTGTAATTTCTGACTTTTCCGTACGGAGGGGAGGGGGGGATCTTCAACTCTGTTTGCCAAGTAGTTTGAAGAAAAGCTAGTGGGTCCCATTTCTCTGAACATTTGTTCCACTGTCTTGGTCCTGTCTCTTATACACATCTAGATGTGTATAAGAGACAGATACACAGGAGCTGGGGAGGTTTGGAAGTGGCATAGTGTAATTTCTGACTTTTCCGTACGGAGGGGAGGGGGGGATCTTCAACTCTGTTTGCCAAGTAGTTTGAAGAAAAGCTAGTGGGTCCCATTTCTCTGAACATTTGTTCCACTGTCTTGGTCTGACTGGCTACTTTCTTCTTTCTTCTTTCTGGCTGTCGTTTTCTTTTTCGTAGTTTATCCTTCCCTTTTCTTTTGCAGCTTCCCTTGTGCTGATGCAACTATTAAGGACAGCCAAACTGACAATTTGGGGAGTGAATAAGGACAGGTTTATGTACATTGTACAGTGTGGGAGGCTGGAAAACCTTACACTTCATACGTGATTTAACTTTTTCATGGGCCTTTTGCTCCTTCTGAAAACCTCGGTTCTTCTTCCGCGGAACCCGTTCAGTAGAACAGGAGTGAGAGCAAGCATTTTTGAGTTCTTCCTCTCTTCCCCCTCCCCCCCCTCCTTTTTGTCCCTCTTCCTGCCCCCATTTCTCTGTGCAGTTTCTTTTTTTTGGGGGGGGGGGCAAAGCCCTTTTTTTGGGGGGGCCCAAACCCACCATCCCGGCGGTGGTAACAGAACCACCGGAATTGAGGCCTTGCCTATCTCAGAGTCTGTGCAGTTTCTTTCCGCACGGTCACGGAAACGTTTTACGAGAGTTTTAAAAACTCTACGTTGTCTTCGGTCTTCGGTGATGTGACGATATGTATCCACTTTGCTCCGGCGTTGCTTTTTTTCATGTCGCCAACGAGAAAATCAATCCACAAGCATGGTAACCCCGGACCCGGACACTTCCGGACACTTCCGGACTGTCTTCCGGACCAGTGTCTGCAAAAATGTCCGGACTGTCCGGTGATCGGGACATCACCGGAGAGTCCGGACAGTGCGGACCAGTCCCCGGGGTGCAAAAATGTCCGGACCCAAAAAAAAAAAGAAAAAAACAGGGGTGGGGTGGGGTTGGGTGGGGGTGTTGGCAGGCAGTTACACTCTGTAGTTAAGGCAGCAGAGCACGTGTCTTGCAGCAAATTAACCAGCACATTTAACTAGCAGACATGCAGAGTTGCAAAACAGTGCAAAGCAGGCACAAGACTAAAAAAACAGACAATTTAAAAAAAAAAAAATTATGATTAACTTTGAACTTTGAACTTTGGATTTAGTAATTTAAGTTCATAACTTCATATATATATAACTTAAAAGTTGGAGCTTTGCAGTTCAATTCAGAACGTTAGAGTCTTCAGACTGGCAGCACTGTCAGTTCTCTCTCTCTCTCTCTCTCTCTCTCTCTCTCTCTCTCTCTCTCTCTCTCTCTCTCTCTCTCTNCTCTCTCTCTCTCTCTCTCTCTCTCTCTCTCTCTCTCCAACGGGGAGCAGCGGCGGGCGCCACGTCGAAACGGCCGCTTTGAAATTGCTCGGGCCTGTGCGAAACCCGCCACCTCAAAAATCTGCAGTGTCTTGTGTCTGGACCTCTAGGCCATGTGCGCTGGGGTGAAAGGACACTTAAAAATCACCCCGTTATTTTTCGAGGGGCGGCTAGAACCCGACAAATGTCTTGGGTCGCCCCTTTTCTTTTTTTTTATTTTTGCCCCAGGGGCCTCCATCCGGACATGGGGACTGGACACCAGACACCGACACCGGACACCGGACACCGGTCTGTCTGGAACCCGGTCCGGACGTCCCGGCGGTTACCATGATCCACAATCACTGAAATGGGAACGGCCGTTTGAGGAAGGGTACGACTCGAAGGAAGTAATATGAGTGGAAGCATCATAGATATCCTTTTTGGTCGAGGACTGTCGAGGGTGCGGTGGGAATTCTTTGTGGTGTAAGCAAAAGGGGTGAGGAGGAGATATGTCGAATCTGCACGGATATTAAAATGCCAAATGGCCTGCTGTGGGGCGTTGATGGATCAGAAACTCCTAATTATGTCATCTTCCCAGGATTGACATCCAATGGGCATGTACATTTTCTTTGCTTTCTTTTTTTGTTTTTTTGTTGCGCAGGGGCCATGCAAGTCTTCTCGGTGTCGTTCCAATTATAGCGTATATCTCAACGGACATTGGTATTCATTTTCTTCGTCTTGTTTCCTTTTGGGGGGGGGGAGGGGTTGGGGGGGCGGGGTGGAGGGGCGCGCCAGGCGGAACCACTTTCAGCCGCAATGCTCAATAAGATAATCTGGACCTCCGAAGGATCCTCAGGTATTTAGCGTCTCAGAGCAAAATGAATGATCAGGTCATTTATATCAGTCTTCTGAGGATCTCTTGCTGGACGATTTGGTGATCCGGACTACTTGTCAAGTGTGTCTCTTGCAGGCACAGGAAACCTGGTGGGTGAGATCCATACGATCCATACCAGTCCAGCGCCTTGGTGAAATTGCTACACGAAGCAACAGGAAATTGTCGACAAGTTTGAAAGAGAACGCCTGGGTGAGGGTAACCTAGGAGACGTGTAAAAAAAAAAAAAAAAAAAAAAAAAAAAAAAAAAAAAAAACTAGGAGACGTGTCTGGAGGATCGCAGATCGCAGGGACCCAACAGGGAGTCCAACACCGAGCAACAGAAGACCTGACGGCGCTTGTTCCATCCCCAACACAATCTGTTAACCTAGGCATGGTATGACATGGACGCCAGTTTCAGAGAGCCATGATGTAGGTTAGGATAAGAATTATTAGTTTACTAGTGATTAGCCTTCTGCTCCCCACGAATAGATTGGAGTATGTCTTCCAAAAAAAAAAAAGAAAAAAAAAGCCTTCTGACTGTAGGATACTATGCCCATCTGACAGCTGCAATAAGCTGAGAGGAGTTCGCAAGGCTAGTGAAAGCAACTAGCGTGGTTAGAGGTAAGGAATGTAACTAGGGTTAACATAGGCTTAACTAGGGTTACAGCAAAGCTGAGTACACAAGGCTAGAGAAAGAAAGTAGTGTGGTGCAAGTAGGAAGTAAGGGGTTATGATGGGACTAACTAGGGTCTAAGGTTCAATGCAAAAATTAGCATTGTAGGCTTTTTCGGCCTCTACAACACCCTGGGCTTAAAAAAAAAAAAAAGCATTGTAGGCTTGTAGGTGTAGTTATGTGTGTTACTACAGGTTTAGGTTTTTAGGGGATCACTAAACAGCTGTGACAACGGAGAGGAGTACACGAGGATAGAGAAAGAAAGCGGAGAGGTAGGGAAAGTAGAAAGGTAAGAAAGGAGCAACTAGGGTTTAGGGTTTAAACCACCAGTTCTTGGCCCAGCTATCAAGTCTGAGCCTCCAGCGACCGGTATGTTGAGCCTGACAAGCCTCTGGCAGTACCAGTAGCTGGACGGGCCGCGGCTGGGGGGACCAGTTGGAAAACAAAAACAGCCAAAAAAACAAACAAACAACAACGCTGTGGATGTGAATGCAGTTGGATGCACTCTCCTGAGTGCTAATGTGAGCAGGTCGCAGTTTGGGTGTATCAGCCCCGTGGCGTTTCTGTCAGAATCCAAAAGTAAAATAAGGAAGAAAAAAAAAACAAAGAAATGAATCTCAATGAAGGAAAAAAAAAAAACGAAACATGAATTTGCCCCTGAAATTAGCTAGATACATTTGTCTGTGTGCAAGTGTGAGTATGCGCTCAATGAGGGCTGTTCAGTAGATCACGGGATATGCCCTGCCTCGCTGGCAGGGGAATCGAAGAAAAAATGCGGCGTGCTAACGAGACACGCCCGTGGCCCAGCCATAGCTGGGCCAAGTACTGGTGGTTTAAGCCCTGGAAGAAGAATCACAGCTTTGAGTTATGAGCGGTACTTCGATTCGGGTCCCATTGGGTCTCGTCAAAAGCATAACACTGGGTTTAGCTCCCACACCCGGTCTTTATATGGGGTGGCCGACCTTTTTTTTGTGGGCGTAATTAAAAAAAAAAAAAAAAAGGAAGTTAGCTGGAAAAAAAAAGAAAAAGGAAAAGGAAAAAAGAATGATCACTGATCAGGTCATTTCTGCACACGATCAGCAGGGGAAGGCATGCTAGTACATGTGCCGATGCACAGTGTCAGTCTGACAGAGCTCTGCATATTCGGGGCAGTTAAGCCACTACCGGTATGTGTGTAGGCTGTGGAAACACTTAACCTACCAGTTCCAAAGCAGATACTTAAGGGGTGTGCAAAGTTTCAAGGTCCCCAACTTTGGACTCCTATGAGTCCTATCAAGATGTTAAATTATTCATGCGATAGCATACGGGGAAAAAAAAAAAAAAAAAAAGAGGTGGCTGCATACATCTGTGAAAATTGGAAGGCTGCATAGAAGATTAGCATGGC